CTAGCATATACATGCACATACATCAACATTTAGCATGAACAACTTAACAATGGTAACTATCAAATTATTTTAGATGAGACATTACAAAACAGATTAAGTACTCATAATAAAGGTTCATTCACATCGGAACTGCTATAATTACTTGCAAATAATATTATAATTAAATGTATGGGAAACAATTTATACATGTCCGTACATCTCCCTAAATGTCTGTTGCATGAGGAAAACTCTCGAAGACCAAACATATTACCACCTTGTGTTATCTACCAACCAACACGGTTGTCAGGCAAAACCAGTTGCTATATTTTACTGGTGCACAAGCCTCAGTAAAATACCATTTATGCTGCGTGCAAAATATTATTGGTAAAACCTTATATGTCAGTGAAGATTATGGACCTAAGAATCATTTATTCTACACAGTAGTGAATGGATGTGTGAATGCAAAGAAGAAATTTCAGGGTGCTAAATGTGGAGGAATCATTTGTAGGGACAACAGTGACTTGTTAGATTCCAGCCAGGTCTGTGGAAGTGAATGTCAGCCCAGCAGGAGGCATCTGGGAAAGGGGTTCCAGAGTGAATGGCTGAGAGATACAGTCCAAGGGCAATGAGACAGACAAGCTCACCAATGAGCAACAGGGAATGGCGGGAGAGAGAGAGTGGTTACAGGAGGGTAAAGACAAAGGCCTGGCTGAGTTGGCTGGAATCTTCTGGGGCTGGTGGACAAGACATTAGCATAATGTATGGATGGAACAGGAAGGGCAGGGGAGCAGATAGAGCTGGGCAGTGAGGGATGGTGACAGGAAGTAGGGAATCCAGCAGCCAGAGCAAATGAGGAAGCTGGGACGCAAAAAGGGAAGGGGAAAACAAAAACTAAACTAAAAGGCAGGAACTCAAACTAGATTGCACAAAGCTAAAAAATAAAGAATATCAAATAAAACCCTAATATCAAAAAGCATCAACTAAATGGAAAGGAAACTTCACAAGACTAGACTTGACAACAACAGAAACAAGCTCACGATCAACACAGACAAAAGACAGATTAACTCAGCAGAGCAGAGATTCAATCTGGCAAGGAAAACAAGTGGGGAATATAAAGGGTGTCTAATAATCTAAAACAGGTGTAAACCCTAACAAGATAATCAGCAAGAACTACAAAACCATTGATCCCTCTCTGCCTAGTGCACTGAATAACTTTTATACATGGCGTGATGCACTATACATCTAAGAGCACCTGAGCCATGAAAACCACCCAGAGCCAGATTAACTATAAGGGCATTTGGGCACATGCTAAACCAATATCAAAACCCCGATCACAAGCTCTGTGAAGGTCCTGAGACACGTGCTAATGTCTGCATATGCACATAGGCTGGATCAGCCTGAATTCTAATTTAATGCTATTTGAGCATAAGGAACATAATTTATGAGACAGTTCATGACAGATTGTGTTTCTGATTTGAAATGTGTTATTTAAATGTGCTTGTGGTAAGTAATTTAGGAAATTTCAGGATTTCCCCATTCAGGTAGATAGGATTTGGTCTTAGATGCCTGAAATAGCTGCATCATAGCTTACATTGCAAGTATGGCCACCAAGCGAGCTATGTTTTGACTAGAGGGTTGGGACCCAGAGGGCAAGTGAAGAAACAAGTGATATCTGATCTGTATTGTTATAAGGGGTATACTGTATGCTGCCTCAACGTATGCAACTTACCAGAGTGCTTTTTGGTTTTAGTGCAAATTTATTTTTTTGTTTGTTTGTTTTTCTTAGTATGAAGAGGCTTTTATAAAAAGTAGCCCTGAATAATATTTTAATGAGCTGGCCATGATTCAGGGCGGAGTGATGGCTCTTACTGGAATCCTGCTCCTGCAGCATGGTAAGCTTTGAATACTAAGAATTTGTGTGGAGGCCTGCATGGAGACCACAGTGAAGTTTGCCAGATGAGGGAAAGAATGTATGTGAGTGTATGAGTTTGTGTGTGACAGATTATAGTTTGATATGTTTTTCTGTACAGCTTGTCTTGACCTCCTGCCAGAGGTATGGTGCTCCTTCCTGTTCTGGGAGTCCAGCAGTGTGGTTGTGATATTGTACGGTTCACTCTTTGACTCTTAAGTTCTTAATAGTGTACAGCGAACGAATTAAACAAAAAAGGACCTGGCCTAGGGGAAGACAAGAAAATGTTTTATTGTTTAAAGGTGCAGAATCCCTTGGTGAGACAGAATAAATAGAACTAATTAATAGAAAAGGAGATACCTGCTAGCAGAAAGAAAAAATAAACCTAAACTCCATTTACATTTATGTATATCTACTTATCATTCAAAGCAATTTACAGACCATTCAAAGTACACATTTAACCAGTTTGCATGTTTCCTGGAAATCAAACCCATGACCTTGAGCAAGTACTCTACGCGCCTCACAGTTGAGCTACAGAATGGAGTCTAATGCCGAGTTCACACCGCACGATTTTCAAACTCTGGGATTCACATTGCACGATGGATCCGCGACAGGGGGTTTCACACTGCATGACTTCACAATAGGAAGAATCACCGACAGCTCTGTCTGGTCCGCAAACTACCCTTCACAACAAAACACACGCGAGAAGTGATAAGGAAATAACGCGAGAACCCGCGTGTGTCATACTGGAGTTCTCGATCGCGAGCAAGTAATTATTAAAAAAAAAATATATAGCCCGCAAATTGTCTGTGAGCTGATTTCCAGCTACAAGGAGAAAAAGAAAAACAGATTATGCAGGAGGGAGATGCAGGGAGGTGTTCTGCAAAGAGAGTTGGAGGTAAATCATTTTGCAGTAACTGTTATGCTGATGTTGTGGCTGGTCAAGCAAATGTCTGTGCTTGTTTCTGTATGATATCATTGTTCATATATCTATTAAAATACTGATATTCTGGTCTGTAACTCCTCCCCGAACTTCCCGCTGCCCTGTATCTTTGGTCTCTCATTGGCTGTAGGTCATCGCCGATGTGTTTTTCAGTCAGAACTCATTGCACACAGCGTGATTGTGAATCACCGACAGCTCCAGATATTTAGCATGCCAAATATTTTGTGGGCGTCGGCGACACATCGGCAATTCCCTCAGATTGCGTCTTTGATAATTAACACTGTGTGATTGTCACTCGCATGAACGAGCACTGATTTGCCTCCGATGTCGGGCATTTGTCGGCGATTTCGCAAAACCTGTCAGCGAGTGAAAAATCGTGCAGTGTGAACTCGGCATAACAGGTTTACTAAAGTTGCTCAGGCTTTCTGTGTGTTTTTTTAGTGTATTGTTTCTGTATTGTTTAGTGCAGGGGTGTCCAATCCTGCTCCTGGAGGGCTACTGTCTTGTAGAGTTTAGCTCCAGGCATACAAGAAACTTCCAGTCAGGTGTTTTTGGGCAAGTTGGAGCTATAAACTCTGCAGGACAGTGACCCTCCAGAACTGAGTTTGGACAGCCCTGGTTTAGTGCATGGTTTCTGGGGGTTCCGAGAGGATTTCTATAGGGTGGCCAAGAGAGCTCAACAAGCTGCAACTGAATAAATCACATGCAAATAGAAAAACACCAGCAAATTAAGAAAACATCATCATTTTGACCACACATGCTGCAAATCCTCACAATGCAACCAAATACAGAAATGTGCTGCAAATAGCACATACCACAATGGAAATGTTTTAGAGGACCGTAACAAGTTCTGAAAGTAAGTTAGCCAGCTTAATTGTGTATTTTCTCAGATTATTTAGGCTAAGGCATAAGGAATCCTGCAATCAGGATGACTCACCTTTATGATAATTGACAGCACTGACTAGTAGACACTGAACAGTAAGCATGTCCCTGGCAGGTTCATCACTTGTTGGGGTCCCCTTTAAACATTCTGTTGTGGTCTGTGCTATTTTCAGTGCGTTTCTGTATTTGATTGCATTGTGAGTATTTGCAGCACGAGTATCTCGTTTCGCTCTCAGCGAAGGCGGTCGCATTTTCTCTCCCTCTCCTCCCCGTTACCTTCCCTGCATTTGCTCCTCTTGTCTTGTCTACTGTCTTGATTTTGAGAGACTCTCTCCGTACTGCTCTCCAGACTAAAAAATCATGGATTTGATCAACTGGTCTCTCAACACAATTGACACCATCTTTTGGGTTCGGGAGAACCTGACTGCCCTGACGGAACGTTCGCAGCTGGCTACACGATGGTCACGTGGGAAAGGTGGTGGGTCGTGTGTCTAGCGGCTCTTTCCGTGGAGGACATTGAAGATATCTACCTATTCGGAACCATGATAACAGGTCTTATGCTGATTGGATTAGGTATTGCCCTGGTTTATCGAGAAATTCAGAAAACGAACCAATGCCTCACAAAGGCAAATGGATCGATTCGGAGACCAGAATGGACAAAGAGAGTAGTCGTGTAAACTGGAATGCGGCTACTTGCCCCAAGACCAAACAATTCCAATCGTATCTGCTTTCGGCTCCCCTCAACCAGCATTGGCCTCAGCCAAGGCCGCTGTTGGAACAACTACTCCCCCGAGAGAGCACTGCAGTGAGACGCTCTTGTGTTCCTTCCCCCAACTCCTGACATTTACCAACCACGCTCTTGTGTTCCTTCCCCCAATTCCTCTGACACATGCTGATTGTTGACTCTGTCTGGGACCTGATCAAGGCTGCCTCCATGGCAACTTGCTGTGTATCGCTATGACAATCCTGCGGACTGAGGCACCTAGATTGATGCCAGGAGTAGCGACTCTCCAGGCCTACACATACAAGAACTTTTACATACATACATACTCACCCACGTACATATATAAATATATGCATTCACCCCCCCGACCCCCCCATCCCTCGCCTTCGCCGCTTTGTTCCGCCAGTCTGACAAGCGGGTCTGCGATCAGCGCCGAGAATGGCTGCAGGACCGGATGGCTGCTTGCCTGTGCTGGGTTACCTCCACCCCCCTCTCCCCCTACCCTGTTGCAAGTCGTGTGTCTCACGCTGTATTGATGTGCTTATGTTGCTGAGGTGTTTTTGTTCCTGTTCCCACACTGTGCTCCCCATAGGAGCATAGTCTGGGGTCTGTTTTTTTATCTCCTCCCCTCCCTCATGTTATGCTGTATTTCTTTCTTAAATTCCCTGTCCTCCTGTCCTGTCTACCCCCTTGTCATATTGTATGTATGGACAGGTGGATGGCTAATTTCGCTGGTACCTGTGACCAGTGACAATAAAGGGCTACAATACAATACAATGTGTTGTCAAACTGATTTTTTCTTAATTTGTTGGTGTTTTTTTCAGTTGCAGCATCTTAAGCTCTCTCTGTGTATTTTTCTTATCGTTTTTCTAGGTTGTTCTTGCCATTTGAGTACTGGATTAAGACAAGACGGTTCACACCCGAGTTTCTATTTTCTTGTCTCTAGATATGCCTTAGGTTTAGTTCACATTTGAATTCTTTAACCGCTATGCTACACCAGTGTTTTTCAGGACCTTGCACTAAATTCTATGCAATGACAAACTGTAGTCTTAATATTATTGTATTTAATATTATTGTACTTTTTTTAACAATCATGCTATGAATGGCATCTATATGTTAAGTGGTTGAAGCTGAATTGGTTGCAATCTCATACAATACAGCTTTAGAACAAACCCTAATTAGAATGTTACTAATAGCAGTACAATTACAACACTGCAGTCACGTCTACAAATGTTTCAATGTATCCATACTGGGCTGAAATCTTCACACACCACATGTTGTCATTCTCATAAATCACCGAAGCAGTCCTCAATGAAGTTCTGAGTTGCTAGAAAGAGATGTCACAATGGTAGATGCAAGTGGCTGCAAAACTGCAAAGCACTTCCATTCACACTGAACTTTTTCCTCAACAACATCCTGAGGTATCTACATGTGTGAAGCTTGCACCTCACACTCCATTGACTTCCATGGAGTAGTTTGTCAAAAGATAGATGAAAAGGTGGAAGGACACTGCTGAGAAGGAAGGGCAGTGTAATGGAGGGACAACCAAATCCTCAAGCACAAATCTTTTGATCTAGTAGCTTGTTAGTGGTGAACAGAGGATGTATTTATCGCACATGCGTTCTCCTCAATGGGTTTGTGTCTGTCTGCTTTTCACACCTCACATGCAGTCTCTCACTCCACTCTGGGAGTATTCATATAATCTCACAAGGTCATGCTGTGAAATCCCCATACAACAGTGGCTTATTGTGCTTATTCATTTTTTTACCTATCATCTCTTTTACCATTCTTAAAGGGGACTTTACACACCTTTAGTACAGAAAATGTCTGCTGACACAGTCCAGATGTAGGAGTATTCATATAATCTCACAAGGTCATGCTGTGAAATCCCCATACAACAGTGGCTTATTGTGCTTATTCATTTTTTTTACCTATCATCTCTTTTACCATTCTTAAAGGGGACTTTACACACCTTTAGTACAGAAAATGTCTGCTGACACAGTCCAGATGTCTGTCGCTGACACTATAGCCTAATAGGTCAGAGCCAGCAGGTATCCCAGAGCCCTCCTCCAAATATGGTAGATAATTGGGTGGCACAAACACTTGCAGAAGTTGCCATGGCAACAGAAAGGTTAGGGTTCAGACTGCAATATGCTTTGGGAGCCTGAAGGCTATTTTCATTCTCCATGAAAACTATTAAACACAATGTAGGAGGCAGTCTCTCATCCCACTAGCAGGTAATGAAAGGTAGCCTGCGGTGTGGGGACAGAGTCTCTATACACACAAGACTCTGTCTGCTGTGGACAGTCCTATTCTGTGCCCTCTCAGTCTCCATAAAGATAGTCTTTATGAGTCTGCATTTTAGCGTAATGGGTATTTGGCTTGATGAAACACCTGTGCCAAGATCAAACATAAATATTTGAGCACAAAACATGTCTTTGGTGGAATTATCAATGCAAAGGTAGACTTTGACTATTATATATATATATATAACATATATATATAATAGTCATATAGACATATATACTGTATATACAGTATATATGGTTTCTGGTTGCAAGATAATTTCTAGGGTTTTTTGCTGTTTAAACTTTTGCCCTCCCAAGTCTCTGATAGTGTGGTCTCTGTAGATGGCTTGGGTCTCTCTTTAAATATAATTCAAAGGATTCTTTTTCCTCCTTCTGTTGTTTGCCAAGTAAAAACCATAAGTCTAAATGCTCAGAAAAGTAATAGCACACCTCTCTCCAACAAGCCACACAATACATGTCACAGAGTCTAAAAGGGTTTCTAATGCTGCTCAGGTGTTCTAAGTGGTTTTTAGTGCATTGTTATGTGGTTTCTGGGGTGTTCTGGGTGGTTGCAAAAGCATTTCTAGGGGCTTTTTACCATTTGAACACTGAATCAAGTAAAAAAAGTCCACCCCCAAGTCTATATTGTATTCATGTCTCTATATATGACTCAGGTTCTTCTAATGTATTGCATTTTTTCCCACTAGATTTATCATCCACCAGATAAAAGATTCAACTGTGAAATTTAACAGCCATAGCCTTGTGGGCAGCACTCCGACATATGGTGCAGTTGAACCTTAAGTAACCTGAGTTTAAATCCCTGGTCCTTTTCACCTCTCCCACTTGCTTTCTGTTTTTTCCCCCCACTGTCCTATCCAATGGGTCCAAGGTGAAAAAGAATGATACATGGTGATGCATCAAAAAAACATTTAATGTATCATTCACAAACTGTGCAGAAACAAACTGTGCAGAACAAGTTAAATGCCAAATCTGTTTAGGAGTTTGTTCACCCTGCTATTTTGCTAAACTACAACTTGTCCCTGTACAAATGTCCATCTTTCCACTTCTACTTGTATGACTTTCTATACTTACATTCTGTAGTTTCTTTCTATACATATAATACAATATTTTGAAGAATGTGGCCTGTAGCCCTTGACTTCCATTGTGTAGAGGAAAAAATAATAATATGAATGTAGTTATCAGCAACTATTTGGTTACAAACATGCTTCAATATAAATATATGCATAGAAGAAGAAAGAAAATCATACAGGTTGGGAACAACTCGAGGGTGAGTAAATTATGACAGAATTTCCTTTTTCTTTTTTTGTTGTTGTGAAGTATCCCTTAGTATTTTAACAAAGTAAAAATACTTTTTACTGTCCACAGCTATTTAACTACATAACTTTACTGTCCACATATAACACTCATTGCAACCACCTGAAAAATTGAGTCACTGACTGGTTAAATCTTCATCAGAAATAACTGTAACCAAAAGACTTCCTACAGTTATTTACACCACTATTGAGAAGATTCTCCTCGCAGAACTGCTTCGTCTTAAAGATACTTGTAGGCTTTTGACCACTTGTATGTTTTTGGTCATACTGCAGCATTTCAAAATGGGTTTAAATCAATTCTGAGGCAACTTGCTTGTATGTTTTGGATCATTGTCTTTGTACATGATCCAACTGCACTTCAGCTTCAGTTCGTGAACAGATGGTCTGATATTCTCCTGGAGAATTCTCTGATACAGAATTCATAGTTTCTTTAGTGACACAGCATCTAGGCCATCACAGAATCTTCCATTGTGCTTGACTGCTGATATTACATTAATTTTATGAACATCATTGTTTGGATTCATTTAAATTTTTTTCCTTCCCCAGATCAGTGGTAAGAAAATGTTTATATTTTTCTACTCTATCATGGATCCCAATGCTTTTCTGATGGTAGAGTCATGGACTCTGACCTTAGTCTAGGTAAGAGAGGCATGAAGACCTTTAGATGTTGCACTGAGGTAATTTTCTGGATAATTTTGTGCCTTGCTTTTAACTGGACAGCAATTCCTTGGACGATTACCACATATTCCAAGCTATTCCACCTGCTGTGATTGTGTACTTTCCTTCATTTGTAACAAAACTGCACAGCAATTTTAAAATCAGGTACATCAAGTCCACACTGATTGTAGAGGCCAAAGTCTGATTTATATTGGGCAGGGCCAGATCAAATAAGGGCTACTTGCTAACCTAAGATATCAAAAACAACCGATCACAATTAACTCTAATTTGCTGGGGTAACGACTTTTTCACACTTGAAGATTGCATACGCACCAAACTTGTGCGTCAATTTTACATTTTACCGAGTATTCCAGCTCTATATAGCTAAAATCACAATCCACAATAAAATCTGACAACATACAATGATAAAACTTTGCACAAACTCAGAAATGCAGAACTTTTTCACAGCTCTGTAGTCGTAGTCTTTAATGCAGTAGGGAGAGTATCTCAGTGTTCTCACAGGGGCTCTGCTAGCATTGAGTAACAGACCGTAGACAACCTGCTGAGGATGTCGATTGAGAGGCATACAAATGATGTGTCTGACCCACTACATCTGCTACCTTTGCCAAATTGTCTTCTATGCAAGTTAGACTGATGCAGTTAAGAGTGATTTCGAAGTTATAGAGTGACTGTGGACAAAGCTAATCAATATTTACTAACTCATGTTCCACATTACTTTTGCATTCACTCTCAAACAAGTTTTACATTGGTTCAGTATTTTTGCATCACAGCTTATTAATCAAGATCAAGTCTGTAGTACATCTCATCTCAATGTTAACATTCAACATTCATACAAACATCATCAATGTTAACATTCTGATCAAGAAGCTTTCACACTATTTGCTCTGGGAATTTGAGAATAGATGCTCAGCCCTGCCTTTTTTACTACAGGTGAAAAGGCACTTTTACCTGTTTGAAATAAAACAAGGAGCTGAAACTATAGCAAATTATAGTCTGTATATGAGATGAGGTTTTAATGTAAACCATCAGTGGTAATTATTGTAAAAGGGATAGTTAAAATTCTGTCATTAATTACTCAAAAAAACAACAGTCAGTCTCCGCCGCCATTCACGAGAGTACCACAACACATGCATGTGCATTCCTCTGCTTGTACACAAGGCTCAGTGCATGCATGTTCTATGTCAGAACGTCACCTCCTGCGTCAGCAGCACCACACGCATGTGTCATGGTACTCTCGTGAATGGTGGAAGAGACTGACTTGAAGAGAATAAATTGATGAATAAAGTTGTTATTTTTGCTTTCTTTGTGCACAAAAAGTATCCACTGATGTCACGTGGATTAGTTTAACAATGTCCTTACTAAGTTTCTGGGCCTTGAACGTGGTAGTTCCCTTGTTATCTATGCAGGGTCAGAAAGCTCTCGGATTTCATCAAAAATATCTTAATTTGTGTTCTGAAGATGAACGAAGGTCTTACGAGTTTGGAACAACATGAGGGTGAGTAATTAACACTGTCGCTGATGTGGTGTTACGGAACTCCAAGGAAGGCGATGAAGACAAAGAATATCCACAAAGAAAGTCTCTAATTTTAATCCACACAAATACAGGGATGGCAATAACTCTGGGTAACAGTAAAACATGTAACACGAAACAATCACCGACGGTAAACTAAAGAGAAAGGAGACTTTAAATAGGGCAGATGGCAAGGGGCAAACAGGTGATGGAAGTTAACTAATAATGACTAACGAGCAAATTAACTAAAGAGCTAAACCAAACAGGAACAAAACCATATAAGGAAAAACAGGAACAGGCAGCCGTAACAGAAAAAGACAATACTAAAGTTCATAATCCTAACATGTGGTACCTAAGGTACAAAAGCTAAAAGGTCCATCTTTGCGCCTTATTTTCCCTTAAATGGTACATATTAGTACCTTTTGAAAGGGTAATACCTCAGTGACAGTTTTGTACTTTTTTATGAGATTGTAATATACAATGCATGCAATCATTTACCCTGAGCGAATAACTATTTAATGATCAAAGAGAACTTTTGTGGAGACACTGGGCAAATTTTAATTAAACAGAAATGTGTGAAAACATTCTGATGACTTGCTAATAAACTCCATTTAGTACACTTGGACACAGTCATCGGTTTCATCATATATAGTAAAATGAGATCACATCTGTTGTATCGGATCCATAATGTCACTGCAAGGAAAAGATGGCATTCCCATAATAGACACATTAAAGAGTCCTTCATATCAGATAGCATCCAGTTTACTATGATGATAAAAAGCATTGCATCTCATCCTCACTCATGTGCATACTTCAAATCATCTGCTTTTGTGCCAGCAGACCATGTTGATGAAGAATATTGCCTCCTATTCTCACTCACCCCTGCAGCTATTTCCACCTCCCTCTCCCACCTCTTTTCGAGGCCAGTCCTCCCTGTTTCCCTCAGACAGCAGCTTATCTGCATTAAATAAGCTGTCACTGACATCCCAGCACTGGAATACTGGAAACAAGTCTGGCACTTGGTGTCGGTTCTGTGTGAGTGAATCTGCGGTAGATAACACGAAACCTGGTGAGCCATAAAGAGTCAGAGAATGCTGGTCTTATCTGGAGAAACACACAGAGAGACGCTTAATACATTACTGCTGCAATCATGCCGCCACCGAGAAACCCATTCCCCCACACACAGACCTGATAACAAACCCATACATCATCTAGTTCAATTATCTATCAATCACAAAGCGATTAAAAAGTAAATATATGGCATCAAGTGTGTAAACAATATTGCTTGTCTTTGTCAAATTGTACATTAAATGAATAGTTAATGCAACAATTAGTATAATTTAATTAAAAACTATTTTTATAGCACTGTCACCTCACAGCAAGAAGGTTTTTGGTTCAAGGTGGAGAGTTTGCATGTTCTCCCTTGCTGAGTTCAAAATCACATACTCTCTTGAGTAGGTACTTATTTTAAATAAGTAATTACTTCACAACCGCTAAAAAGTATGCTCTATAGGCTATATAGTATGAATGCAATCTGGATGCACTACATTCGTCATCATCATGTGACCTACCAGCGCTAGTTACATCGCTTCACTGCCATTCACAAATCCTTTATTGTGGTCTCATGGGATAGTAAAGTGTCCATCGTATGCACACTTTAAAATCTCATTGGAAATGCATGCTCGTGGTGAAGTTTCTGCAACACTGATATTATTGCATGTTTCGCGGCAGTGAAATGTCCAGAGAGTGGTGGTTTTATTACATTGGTACAGGCACATATTGCAGCGGTTCAGAATTCAAATGTCCAGGGAGTGTCGCTAAAAGGTCTCTATCATTTTGGGAAATAACAGACCCAGTAACACCAAACCCAATCCTTAACCTACACGAACCCTTAACAAATGCAAAAGTGATATAAAAACAGTGCAACCGTGATATTTTAACTTCCTTGTACACGGGTTTGAGCTGTATAGTCGAACCATAGTTTCAAAGGATTCGAATCACTTCACCTCACTAGTGCAACGCCGTACCGCGTGAGCTACCGAGCAAACCTACTGTGTTAGAAAACCTATACAAATTAAGCTGTATATGTGAATCTAACATTCAAAAGTTTCAGTTTTCAAATCTTGCAGTGTGTTAAAATTGTTTTGAGGTCATAAAATAATATTGGTCGAAAATTCTGGTCCCACTTTATATTATGTAATGTCTTGATTACTTAATTTTAGAGAATTAATTATTATTAATTCATTCAGGGTTTTGAAAGAACTCGATTCTGAAAATTCAAGGTCCACCTGATTAAAACTGATTTCAAATTTGATAGTTTACACTCTATCAGCTACTCGGCCAGCGAGACGTTAATGTCAGTGTATATTACCAATTTGACTATATGAATTTTCCCTGGTCACAGGTTAATACAATTATGATAATTTGTAAGCTCTTAGAGAGGTAACGTGATCTTTGGCAAAGGTTTTGTCTTTAAAGTTATATGACACCAGACAATGATTCTTTATAAATGAAACACAAATTTTATTAGCTATTCTAGATTACATTAAAACTAAGCTAAAATACACACACACACACACACACATATATATACAGTTCAGAAGTGAGTTAACGGAGTTGCATGAAGTTTCAAAGTTCTAACTCGTTTTCACGAGTGGTTTTAAATTCAGCCTGAGAGAATTCACAAAGCAGATATTTTCTTATCTTTACTGCTTAACTCAATTCACCAGCGTCAGTTCAGCAGATAGAAAATTTTGTTTGTACTTGCGTTTTGCTTTGGATGACAGCTGAAAAGCTGAGTCGTTCCTCGTGGCTACTGGAGGGGATTCCATGGCTGATTGGCTGTTGATCTGGCGCCGGAATGACGTTTGGATGACATCCTTTTGGGGAAGCCCTCGTTGGATTGGTTGCTTGCCGGGTTACGGAAGAGCCTCTGGTTCTTCTGAGAGAGAGTCTGCTTTAGCAAGACTTTGCGTTCTGCTGAGTTACGGAGCTTCAACTGAAGTGTTTGAGTTCTTAGATGGTTGATCGCCTGATGGTTCAGCTTGTGAGCACAAGTTAGAGTGCCTTCCACACGGCGACAAGGCCTTGCTTGAGAAAGCAAGTGGCGAAGAGCCTGCGTTCGGGAGAGCAAGCGGCAAAAGCCTTCACTCGAGAGAGTAAACAGCGAGAAGCAATTGAATCTGAGTTACAGTGGGGTTTTTGATCCGTGGCATACGTCCAACCTACAGCGCGATCTTCCAATCGGCTTCTTGCAAGGCGGAGCGTGCATACATTAACAAGAGGCTTCAATTCATCACATGAGGACCCCTATACAAGTTGTTAATACTTCTATAAAGTCTCTTAAATGTCACTACCTGCGTCACTGAACTTGTGACACAAACCCAAAGAACTGCTAGATTTAAATCAGCACAGCCAGCGAAGGATCGAACGCGACCGTTTTGAACGAGCGCACCTTTTCCTAACAACCAAAAAGTTTTGTTGTCTGTTGCGGAAGAACAGACGTTACTCTCGTTGATAGCAGAGATAAACTGATTAAAGTTGCACCGATTACATGAAACACATCAAGCATATATATAAACGGCATAACACATACAGTGGATACATTTTCACTACTTATGAGTTTAAACGATTGTCTTTTAAAAATCGTCATGCAAGGTCCTGTTTCTTTTGTTGTAAGAGAAGTTTGTAAGGGTTTCAGACAGGGCATGAAGCAGGTGGTCACAAGACATGTGACAGTCATGCATAGATCCTGTGCTTGCAGGCCTGAGGGCTTGATTAAATTACTGTCCTTTTTTCTGTTTGGATATAATAGTTCCATCCATTGGTGGTCACAAGACATCGTGGTTTCTATATGTTGTGAACGAACCTTCCAGTTCTGATACAAAGAAAGCTTTGTTGTCTCCTGATTGAATTAGTTTCGCCCTCCGAATGGTTTGTGTAAGTACAAATGTGTAACAGGACATATATAACTACACATTGTAACAATAATATGTATAAGATTAATTGGAAGAATTTGATCCAGGGGGTGGAGATGGGTAGGTTTAGGGGTATGTAAAGTGGGAGGAGTTGGATCTCAAGTTGGTGGAGTTGGTGCACCACTGTAATACCAGTGTACTTACATGGTAACTGTCCACTTAATATAAAGTGTAACATTTTGGACACCATCCACAATTTATATGTAAAGCCTAACTTACTGGCCGCTGCTGTGTAACACCAGAGTAATTACATGGTAAATCCATAGGAATGGTTTACTTAATATAAAGTGTAACATTTTGGACACCATCCACAATTTATATGTAAAGCCTAACTTACTGGCCGCTGCTGTGTAACACCAGAGTAATTACATGGTAAATCCATAGGAATGGTTTACTTAATATAAAGTGTAACACATTCTTTACCAACAAGTGCTGTTAGTCCTGTTACACATTTGCACTTTCTTTACCAAAACGTGTTGTTGCCAATGTCCTGTTACACATTTGTATTTACACATACCATTCAGTGGGTTGTTACATATGTGTAGTTACACAAACATTACAGCTGTAGATACTATGTACCAATGTGTACTATGTACACATCTAGTTACTATGTAAGTACACAGGTATTAGGGCCACAATATAAAGTGGGACCGGCTTTCTTAATTGAAACTTTGGCCCTGTAAATCATAATTTGTGTAAAAAGTAATAAAAGTTGTCTGAATTTTACTGATTCTAGTGCTCATTTCAAATGGAAACTGCAGTGATTCATACATATAGGTACGTTTTTTGAGTTTTGCAGAAACATACATATTTTCAGTGAGGTTCAGTCTGGTTAGGTTTTATGAGTATTGCGAATTCAGACATACTTCGGCATATTCTGTTTTTTGCCCTACTATATACTGTAGGAAAGTATGTGATTTCAGATGCAGCCTCTGTGTTGGCATGGGTTTCCTCTGGGTTCTCCAGTTTTCCTCACAATCCAGATTGGAGACACTAAATTGCCTGTTTGACTGTTTGTTAGCCCTGTGATGGACTGGCCATCTGTCCAGGTGTTTCCCTGCCTACAGTCTGAGATGCTGGAATAGATTCCATTATCTTCCTACAGAGGACAAGTGTTTTGGAAACTGGATGGATGGACATTTTTACTGTCATAATTTAGTCTCCCAAACACAATTTTTTTTTTTAAAGAATCTTCCATACAGTGATAGTTTGAAGTGAACATGTCTGATTGGAATTTAAGTCATTTGCTGAGAATCTTCTCAGTGGTGACTTTCAGCAAATCAAATGACTGTGTCATGATCAAAACATCATGACTGCAGACCTGTGCCATATTTGTTTGGAGAGATGGAGAAGAGGGAAAACCAAACCAAACTACAATATCTGATAAAAACTACTTGGTATTTGTTATTAGTTACTTCATATCCCTGTGCTCATCCTTTGTAGGGTCACAGGAATCACACACACACACACATAGGCAATGTCATCCTTTTCCCCCCTCAATATTAAATTGTTCAATTTACCTTCACAATACAGTTGGTTTGACAAAATTCGAAGTTGCTCTTATAGTGACCCAAGCTTTCACGCTCCTAAAGGCCAAAAAAAAAATAAAATAAAATAAAAAAAAAATATATATATATATACAGTATATATATAATAACAACATCATAAGTAACCCAGCTCACTTGTGCACTATATTTCAAGTCTTCTGAAGTATATCATTGCTTTTGGAGGAACAGACTAAAATTTTGTTCATTAATCAATATTCAAAGACCGATTTCTGCTTATTAGATTGACTTACTACATTCTTTGTTCCAGTCCATTGTGGAAGCAGCTAGTAGCAGTTTACTCGCCAAGACAGCTGCATCGCCGCAACGAGACCTGGTGCATTTGTGTGTAATTTCTTTCTTCTGAAGAAGTCTTCCCTGATGAAAACACTTCTATTTAATGCACTTTTTCATTACAGATTATATTACAAACATATCTAGTAAAATGTAGCTTTGAGTAAAATATAGTGGTGTAAAAGGTAGGAGAGGTTGCCCACCTTTTAGAACAGACTGGGATTTATGCAATGTATATACTATAATATATGCAATTACAATTTAATTAGTGTTACCTCTCTATCTTTGCCTACTTCACTGCATGTTGTGTAAGGTTGACTTTAGAGATTCACATTGTTTTATTGAAAAATCCTAAAACTCTCTTTCTCTTTTTAACCCATCTCTGGTGTGTGATGATAATCTCTCTCTCTCTCTCTCTCTCTCTCTCTTTAAAAGTATTGAGCATATAAGCGGAATATAATGTTATTAATAATTAAAATAAAATAAAAAATCACAAAAAGTATACATGTATGTATGTATAAATACATGTATGTATGTTTTGGTCATGAATTAACAAGAACTGATTTAAAAAAAAACAAATTGGTAATACTTGAACTATCACATTTGGTCTTTATTTGATATTTTGAGTAGTGTTTTATTTTTTATATATATATTTGAAACACTGCAAAAAATGCACATCAGCATAGGTATGATCAGTGGCGTTCCATCCATATAAGCTGCGAATGCTCCGCATACCCAGGCCATTTGAGAGAATAAGTTCACGGGATAATTCATATAAACATGATTATAAGTTGGTCCCTTACAGTTGAAATGTAACTTAAAGAGTTAGGAAGTACATACAATGATTTATTTGCCAAACGGCAGTAATTTTCTTTAAATCTACCAGTTGCGGTTTCTTCCAGGCGAGCGGATTCTCCGCAGCTTTCTTGTCTCCACTCTGTTGCTATGACTCATTCGTCAGGATTTGCTGGTCTGCGGCTGATTTCATGTGCGAGGTAAGCTGTTCGCTAAGCGCTCCCCCAAGCGGAAAAATGTGCTGTTGCTGTCAGATCTCGATTGCCGAAAATCACATTGTGTTTGATGCAAAACCAACTCAATCAAAAGGAAAAAAAAAACACAGTTATATACTGTAACTGTATATTTTGTTTTATCATGCAAAGCAAATTTTAAAAGTCCACTGAAAACATATCTTCTTACATTTTTGGTCATAGACAACTTATTTTGAAGTCAACGTTATTACCTAAGCGGTAAAAAAAGAAAAGAAAAGTGGGCTAAATAAAAAAAATGATAACAAACATCATATTGTTGCCTTTGTTTTGCGTATGCTCGTGTTGCTTACAGTTAAAGGGGTCATATGACGTTGCTAAAAAGAACATTATTTTGTGTATTTGGTGTAATGCAATGTGTTTATGCGGTTTAAGGTTAAAAAAAAACATTATTTTCCATATAATGTACATTATTGTTTCTCCTCTATGCCCCGCTATTCTGAAAAAGCGAGGTGTGCCGTGATTGGCCAGCTATCCAGTGCATTGTGATTGGCCGAATACCTCAAGCGTGTGACGGAAATGTTATGCCCCTTAACATACTGTGATGCCATCTCCCAGCAGGACAAGACAAAACCAATAAAACCCATTACAAATGAGGCATTTGTTGCATCCAGTGGGGACATAATTACTGATTATAATGACTTATACTGTCTTTTTATGCGTTTTTACTGCGTAAACATAAAAACATGTCTGCATTTGTGATCGGAGAAACAACAAGCCTACTCTACACTACCCAAACCAGCAGCAACAGCAAGAATTAAAGTTACGCCTTCTTTTTTTGCGTGAACATTTGGGTGGCGTTATGCACATCTTCCCACATCGTGACGTAGACATGTGGGGGCGTGTTAGAATGAGCCGTTTTAGGTAGGTGTGGTTGACTCTTAACTTTTATAAAGAATATCTCTTTGGATTTGAGACTTTAGTCTTTGCAACTTTACAGATCTTCTTTATGCACCAAGAGCTTGTAACACTCCAAAGAGAAAGGAGAACTTGAAATCGCATCATATGACCCCTTTAAAGTCTTTCTCTGATTGTATTATTGTTTGCAAGGTTGCAACGTTGCTTTGCAATA